ATGATCATCGATCTCAAATTTGATTGGTCAATCATTTAGGGTCGCATAGCGACGGGTTGCTAATGTATTTTTGCCATTAAATAAACTATGTTTTAATATACATATAATTTATAAATATATCATTATATTGTACTTTGAATTGATAATGAGTTTCCTCTAGTTCTTTTTATACTGTACCAACAATAGAAAATAGGGATTTTGCCATGCCTTCTTCCAATACTTCCATCAATTTCTTTCGTAAAGTATCAATGCCGACTTGAATACCACGTTGACTATACACATAAAAAATTGATCCTCGTGACGCATTAAAGCAGAGGTAATATTCTTTTTATTTTTAATGCTTGCAGGAGGTTTACAAACAACACCAGTATAGCCCAAATGTAAAGGATAATCACTATTTCGCAAAATTGCGGCACCGACTTCAGGTTCCATTAAATCCATTTTAGTTATTATACCAAGAGTTCGCAAACCTAACGGATCAACTTTACGACCAGCTTTTAATGCCTCAGAGTTTGCCAAATCTACATCAGCCGCACACAGCCAATATTTTATTTGGTTCTTTTATATATTGTTCGCATAATTCAACTATTTTGTCTTTTAAAGTTTCCGGTTGATTTTTGTTGTTTACTTGAATATAACCAGGCAAATCGATTAAAGTTAAATCAAGAACATTTGCCGAGTAAATTCGAAGTTCAATTGGTTTGTTATATACACATTCTAATTCGGAGCACAGCAACGTAAAGTTTGTTGAATATGAGAGAAATCATGTATTTTTCCTAAACCTAATTGAGGGAATTCGCTATATTCTTTTCTAGATTTAGGTGTATGTATTAATAAGTTCAATTGGTCTTTGGGTTACCATATTGGATCTCCTATAAAAAATAAACTAGATAAATGGGACCCCCCACAGCAAAAGGAGGGGATGGGCCAAAAAAATTTTTTTTTAAAAAAATCCAATATCTTGAAGAATTAGATTGATTAGAATAAAATTATCATAAGAACAAATTTTCGAATTTTTTTGCCCATCCCCTTCTTTTGCTGTGGGGGGTCCCAAATGCTGAAATGGAAACCATTTAAGGTCCGAAGCAGTGTTCGAAATAGATTTCCTTATGTCAAGAAAATGATCTACATCCGATGTAACACCCAATTTTGATAATATTATATATATATATTGTTATTTTTAGTATAAAAAACTCTTCCTATAAATAAAATTTCATGCTATACATTTTTTACTTAAAAATAAATGCCGGTTGTCATAGTAAAATTTTGCGTTATTTATGATTTCTTTATTTTTGGCGTTTGTTTAGATTTACATTAAGATC